TTTAGAAAAGTGCTACCTTGACATGCATAATGGTAAACTTTATTTTGTTTTCAATCTTCCCGAAATCTCTCCATTATCTTTAAAAGCTTATTTTACAGGTTAAAGTTCAAGCAATCTAATGGTATTTCTTAGAATTGTTCTGTGGATGGAAGTATCATCAAATCAGCAGTTGAAAATTTCCCGCATACTCGTGAGAACTTTATGGATTTAACTGTATACGAAACAGAAATAAACACAGGCTCGAAGGAGCTTAAACAATAAGGAGGACGGAGGAGCTCTCGTTGAGAGACCAATAACCCTCCAATAACAAGGCAAAAACGAGGGAGGTGCTAACCGGGGCGGTCAAGGATACATCCTCGATAGTGCTGGTTAGGCTCTCCATCGTGGAGCCAACTAAAGAGTAGGAGGATAAAGTCGAAGATGGTGAAAACACGACCAAGATTACTCTGGCAACCACTGGGAATAAAAAAATATAGACGTAGCAAAACATCTAAAAGGAGGGCTCGAAAAGCCAGATTGGCTTCTCGGAGATGACTGCGGCGAATACAGACACAGGTATTTAACAAGTGGAGGACTCATCTAGAGAGAAACTTACCGTCTGTGAAAACCAATCAGGGCAGACGGAGGAGTCTGAAGGCAGGGGCCTTAAGGAAGCCCGACCTTCAGTCAGTTCCTCTCGGATACGAAAAATACTCGCAGGGTCTTTTCGGCACCGACCAAATATAAGGAGGCGGTCACGAAAGGCACGAGAGTGACTATTGTGTCAGTGGAGTACCTCGAGGTCCTCACGAAGGCTCAAGTAGTAAAAAAGACTGACCCCAGGGAGGAGATACATAAATGACTCTTTTTAAGGTATAACTCCTCTCTGCAAAGGATAAGTGAGACTGGGTTGATACTGCTATCACTATAACTGCAGGTGGTACCAGTCAGTGGCATGCTTCAGTAGTGTGGTCGATCACCATGAAGAAGGCGTCTCACAGAAAAACACTCTAAAAGGCACATCGATTGGCGCTGCTATGGATAACAAGCGCTTTCCCCACAATATCAATGCGCACCCTTGCTAGGATGTGGGGTGCGGCCATACGATTGCAGTTCGCAGGGAAATGGTCACGGTTAGATAACGTTCACGCTGTCATCCTACGGGAGTTGGAGAACCCTTACAGAACTTTTATGTGACCCGACGCACCTTTTGCAACACAACTAAGAGGTCCTCTTCCCAGAAAGACAGACCTATAATAAAGGTTCGGCAAACATTTTTTGTCCGAGGAGGAGAGGGCTTATCTGGTACACAGATGGCTCCAAGATACTACCATAACCGGAACCAGTATGTGGGGAAGAGACCCCGAAAGAGAAATTCGCCCTTGCTCTAGAGCACCAGGTATCGGTTTTCTAAGCGGAGATGTTTGCGCTCTGAATCGATGCCAAATTAAATTTGAACAGAGGCTTTGAGGGGAAACATATCTATATTTGTAGCGACAGTCAGGTTGCGCTTAGGTCCCTTATTAAAGTTGACGTAGGATTTAGACTGATGAAAGATTACGTAATGACTCGCAAGTGGCTGTCAAGTAACAACTACGTGAGACTAGTGTGGGTTCCAGGTTATTTTGGAATCACCAGAAATGAGAAGGCTAATGAGCCGGCACAGATTGGTCGGTGTATAACAATTCCATCCGGATTCTGTCTGCTCTGTAGGTATAGTCGGCGGAAAAAAATATAGCGAGCTCGTAAAATCGGTCAGGGGTCAAAGTAAACATGTTTCGAGTGTTCTAACAAGGGAATTGACAGAAATATGAGAAGATAAGGACCTGTACCCTGGATTAGGGCCATATTACGTGAATACCGCGCCTGCACAGGCTCTGTCGTCTTCCAAATTCTTACAATGTTCTTCGTTTTCACTTGTATTCTACTCCAATTTCTATTTCTTTTTCCACTGCTTCTTTTCAATGCTGTTTACTTTATTCTGTATCAATTCCACGTTCTTAAAATTCACATAACTTTACGACAGGTCAGGCACATAAAGGAACTTCAAATATAAGAAATGCTAAATGGCATTTTTAATTCGTCCGATAATACATGAAATACCGTTAGTTACCCCTTTATTGTACGGACCCTAAAACAGAAAACCGTATGCGGTCCTGGCTGAAATTAGATCAAGTTGTGCCGCCACTTAATGCTTTAATTTACGAACTCGCTATATTTGTTCCATCGATTATACTGTGCAGAGCTGGAAAGATGGTATGGGGGACGGCCAGAGGCATATCTAGCGCAAACATCGTCTACTTCTTCGTTAAACACGATTATAACTTTGGAAAAAAAAGAAATTCTAACATTAACCTTCAAAATAAATTTATTTAACAAACGCTATTTCTTTCGGATTTCTTGCACCCCCCTAGCATTAACGCTCAGGGCTCGTGCCCTAGTTGCCTCACTCTAGATATGCCTTTGGGGACAACATAAGGGCAAGAGGGTACTCCACTTGCTTCGCTTGATTCCGCCTGTGACGCTTCTGAAACCACCATTTTAAGGTTTTTGGCGGTACACCCTGACATAGCAGTAGGACCCCCGTATTCGAGGGTGATACGTTTTAAAACCTAACGCGGGTACGCTCTCATATTCCCTCTCTTCGTCACACGATGTATGATCTCATTTATAGATGTCACCAATTCGGCCAATAATAAAAATACATGTGCTCTGTCTCCATGACTGTGTAAGAGAAAGTGGACCTATTACTCTATAACCAATCATACTAGCATTCTCTCCGTTAGCGAACTTCTCATCTCTGCACATACTGATGCAAGTGGTAACTGTAATACTGTGCAGAGCTGGAAAAAAGTCTCGCGGAAGGAATGCTAGTCTGATTGGGTCAAGTAAAATTTGAAATTTCTTAAAAGAATATAATACCTATTGATTTTTTATTTTCCTTTTATATTGTTTTGTTATCTCAAACTATTGTAGTATCGGGGCCTCCATACCCAAATAGGAAACCGGGAGAATAGGGAGGGAGTGGTTGGCGTAGCGCGCAAAGCCTCGGCTTGCTAAGCCGTAGGTCCCGGGTTCGATTCCCGTTGGGTCCCTCAATATTTTTCCGTCGCCGGTTCCTACAATTGGAGGCTCATCCGGGATGGAGGCATATACGACTGCACGAAATCAGGCCGCTGTGAGATGAAAACATCTCGAGGGATTTCACGTCTCCAAAAAATGCCTTGTTTCGGCTGTTGTGCCACTGTGTGGGGGAGTGTGCCCGAAAGTGTTGAATTTATCGAGTTGTGTTGCAATGAGGACATTCGAGGGCGAATGTCAGTTCAGGATGGCCGAGTGTAGTATCGGGGCCTCCATACCCAAAAATAGGAAACCGACACGGGAGAATACAGAGGGAGTGGTTGGCGTAGCGCGCAAAGCCTCGGCTTGCTAAGCCGTAGGTCCCGGGTTCGATTCCCGTTAGGTCCCTCAATATTTTTCCGTCGTCGGTTCCTACACTATAATAATATAAATTATAACACAACTTTAAAAATTGTGGTTTTTTTAAAGAAATATCACCCTCATTCCTGTTTATACAAGAAGGGCCCCGATTTTCATTTGTATGCTTAGGGCTCAAAAAGTTATAGACGCGGCCCTCGTTGCATCCCTACAGGCCCATCTGCTCTAAGACAATTGTAGAAACGGGGCAGACGTATTGTCATTATGGGTAAACGCGATCATACAAAATTGCGCGGAGGAAGAGTCAGGCGGTGCGAGCGAAGTTACCCCTCTTGTTGCTGTGCCGTTCTGCTGGACTTCTTTCCAGCTCTGCACAGCACTTCAAAAGAAGAAAATATTTTTATCTGTGTGAAATGTGGTAGAACATAGGTAAAAAAATTTCATCGATATATTTTATTAAGATAAATACTGCGTATGAAATTTTAAATAAAACAGGTTAATTATTTCAGCTTTCCAAAGTTATAAGAATGTATACAGAATGACTGACTATTAATTCTTTACACTTCCGTAGTACATCCAACACTTCAGCAATTAATTGATTATGAAACTAATGAAGAAAATTATCGAATATACCCTAACAACATAATGTTTGTTGAAAAAATGCATAAAATCAAGAAAATTGTGTACGACCGTTAGCATGATTCTAGGTAGAACGAAATTCCCGGAGTTCTAGTGTTAAAGACATTGACCTGCAGGTAGTAATTTTTATAGCAATTTTTAATTTTCGTTAGGAAGTTCAGCCACACTCGGAGCATTCTCCAGACTTGGCTCTAACCAATTTTTGCTAATTCCAGTTTTTACAATATCATTTACGTGACTTTAAAACGATCGAAGAAGTGAAAAAATGCATAAATGAATCGAATCGAAATGGCAATATCTTTTTCGGTATTATTTATTTAGTTGAAAGGTGAACCAAAATTATAGAAAATAATGGAAACTATTTTGATGATTATGTTTATATTACCTGGTCCACGAAATGAAAATACGAAGTTTGTTTAAAAAGGCATCGAATTAATCTACACATCTTATAAATACAGAAATCGAACGAGTAGAAAATATTTCTTACGTTCAACACCGATATTTTCGGTAGATTCTGCAACATCTTCCATTCACGGCGGATGTAATCCACAGACCCAACTATCACTACGTGTTTAAGCTCGTGGTAATGAAAATTGGAAGCTCGTAATGGCATGACAAGGTTTCTCAGTCCGATGAGAGGTGAGTCAGGATCAGCGAATAGGCAGACAACCACGTGTCCATTGAGAACCGTCATAGCCGCCTGATTACGATCCAGTATGCAGTCTTCAAGGTTGCGGGATGGACTCCAATGGAACATACCCGTTGAATCGTACTTCATTTCGGTCTTTTCAAAATCAAAGTCCTTCGCTTGATCGTCGGCAATTCCGACTTGAAGACCGCCATTATTATTCACGTTCGTGCCGCCCGAGGCTCTGCTTGTTGGCCTAAAAAGGAATTTCTGCCTTTACTACATGATCACCGTGTCAGTAATTTTCATATTCCAATGTAGATCACTCGTTTAAACATAAAACATAGGCACATTACAATTGGCGCAAGTATACTCAACACTATTTTTTCAGGACTAATAGTTCATTTTTATTCTAAGCTAATCTTCAAATTTCCAAGCCGATAAATGCTAATAGAACTAATACTTTAACGGGTAAGGATGCACAGCTGAATCTATTCCGCGAATGAAACGGGACACTGTCACTTGCAGACATTCATTCGTTTTAGTAACTCGTCCAAAAATGCTTTATCTAAGAAATTAGTTGAATGTTTGACGTTTTACAATTCTGTACTATAAGTAAATCTTTCGACTATGGTAGTGTTCAAAATCTGCACAAAAAATGGCACGTACGATAAATGAAAACAATAATCGTGTATAGTAATTGAATAAAGATGAATTAACTCGTTTTGATGTCAGATTTCCAAAAAATATGTAGACATAAAATTTCATATTATTGTATACATTATTTTGTAATTAGTAACGAGTATAGATCGTATTAGTTTCACACTCTACCGATTAATTACTTTAATAAGAAATATGAAAGAAAAATTTCCCAAAACCTGATATATTTGAATGAAATTTTTAATGAAATTTATAGATAAATGTAAGCAAATTCTAGAATACCAATTACTGTATTTTTCTTTTTAAGAACAAACTTTAAATGCAACTTAACAGGTTGGGCAACTTAACTATACAGTTTCTTCAAAATCTTTCTCTTGGGACAAAGACGACATACCTAAGAATGAAAAATAATTGACCTGAAATGTCAACACGTTTTTACAAATAGTTAACATCAATATTTATTTTATGCGTAACAAATCCTTTTCAAACCGATTGGCTAAAATAAAGAGATGTTGTACATATAAAAATGTTACAATGAAAACAATCATACGATGAATTAGTCAATTTTACACATTTCACTTCCCATTTCATAGACTGTGCAAATTATTTCATTACGTTTACTTAAATTATTCAAATTTTACTCATATTGTTTCATTATTTAAACCATCTTTTGTTATTAACCATTCTTAATTTTATATCAATAACTGAATATATGTACTCGACAATAATTATACTGATCTTATACGTTGTCTAACAGGATTTATAACGAAGCTGAATTTTGTAACCAAACCTACTTTTATAAGAAGGCTATCGTTTTAACCTGAGAATATATTAATGATCGAACATAAAATGAGTCGTTTTAGAAGTAATTTATTAAATTTATTAAGTGTCTCTAATATTTCTAAGGAACAAGTGGATACTATTTTGTAAAGATAGAAATATCAACCTAATACAACGCAATTCAAAAATAATTTCCAATATGAAAGCTTAAAGTGTTCGAATCTACATTTAATATACATATATGTACATGTACATACACTGTATGTGCGATTACCTCATATATGTAGAGTGGAAGAATAACTTTATCCACCTAAAATATTTCTGTTATTTTTAGAGATACGAGGAAATTGTATTAACAAAAATTATTGTGGATCAACGAGAACAGAATATGCCAGTAATAATTTTTTTTTGTAGGCGGAGAGGCACAGGAGATTACAAAATTATCGCCACTTTCTAAATGTCATGCTATACCTTTTTATACTTACAGTTAATGCAATAGTATAAGGTCATACCAAGGCAAATCCAGAATAAACCAAATTCAATTTCGGTTTCATTTTTTAGCCATAAACAATTAAAAAATTGTCTGGGTCCTGGTAATCCACCTAACATCCACGAATAATAGGGTAGCTTATGAACTTGCGATACTTTATGAAAAAATCGTTGATTAAAAATTAAATTTGCCTATTGGTTCAAATTTACAAGGATATATAAAACCCGATCTATGGGACTATCCAAATGGAGAGGATTAATTTTTTATCACACAAGTGTACTTATATACTGACAAGGGAGGTTTCTCAGATGATCAATTAGTTAAAAAAAATAACAGTTGGAAGTTATAGTACTCTACCTCCTAATAATTGAAATGAGTGCCATTCGCTCGGAAAATTTGATATCTACAGAAATCTATCGTAGAGAAATTTTCAGCGTGTGTATAATTGACATAGATCTACAAAACGTATTTTTTAGATTTTCATTACGAGCTCAGATAAAGAAGTTGTAAAAACGATCTTCGCTATTCCAATTAATTGCAGTTTCTTCAAAAATTTATACAAACGTCGGAATGACGGTAAAAAATCATTTCTCTAAGCCTTATAAAAATAGCGGTGAAAAGTCAAATTTTTTTGACAGCGATCGATAACCGAGAAGTCACGCGTACGCATTTGTTCGATCGCGCGCGGATGAGCCTCTGTTCTCCGCCCCTGAGCGCGGGCTCTACGGGCGCTGTGATTGGCCAGTGTTTTTCGTTAATAATTCAAAAACGAAGCTTCAAACAACATTTTGGAAAAGGAAAGAGTTGTTCAGAATCACCCCAGCAACCCCCCATTTCCGGATGTTCGAAGAATTACGGGCCACCCTGTATAACTACAATGTTGGCGAATCGTCGGAATTTAATTACCATTGAACACAATTCTAACCGAGAAGCCTCCAGTAACATTTCTTGTACTTATACAAGTAATTCATAAGCGTACACATAACATTGCTCACAACAAAATGCACGTACAATCCGTTGTTGCAACGTATTATACAGTTGGTCTGAAAATGCTAAAAGTATGCACGCTTTAGCAATTTGACAATTGGAATATTAAATCGACGTAAATGAACCTGAATCCAAGGATTTCTTATAACGGAAAAATCATTATTTTACCCTTTTTTAAATATTGAATGGCCTTGTTATAGGTTGTTGAAATCGTAAAACACGCTATTGCATTAAATGTAAGTATAAAAGAACATAACCCGCTTTTTAAAAAAGACAAAAGTGATTTTAAGATCTTCGATGTGCCGTCACCTATAAAAATACTTACAGGGTGAGTCACGTAACTTGTCTACCTCAAACAACTTCTAAAGTATGTGGTCTACAAAAAAGTGTTTTATATACAAATTGTACGGTATTAAAGATAACATATGAAACTGAAACGGTTTTTTTAGATAACCTATTTGCTTACATGATATCAAGGTGACCTTGAACTTTTTAAATGCCTACCTTTTGTATCAAAATTTGAAAGAACAATGAATGTTTTATAAGAAAATATTAAGCTTTATTTATCTTAAATCTAATAATTTGCAAAAACGATGATCATGGTCTCGCTACTCACCTTACAATTAGCTATAGTAGGTGCTCAAAGTGATGCCCATTAACTCCTATACACCTGTGCAATCTGTTAATTAAGGATAGAAATTGTCCACTTTTTTGAAATTCAAATAATTTATAATTTCATATAAATTATTATTTTATTCTTTTATATTTTATAATTTTCGTACAGAAACTTCACTGCTCCCTTAAATTTTGATACCAAATGGTACGTATTCCATTTAAAAAATTCAAGGTTAACTTGATATCACGTAAACAAGCACGTCATTTTAAAAAATCGTTTCAGCATCATATGTTCCCTTCGATATCGTACAATTTCTATATAAAACACTTTTTTGTAGAACACATCTTAGAAGTTATTCGGGGTGAACGAGTTATATGAGTTCACAGATTCACTACTCAGCGTTTTTCCCGTGAATGGTAAGAATTAGGAGAAAATGAAAGAGGAAAGAGTTTTGCAGTTTTCCACGGCCAACATAATAGCTCATATCAATTTTTTATATTTGCTACATTTTTCGAGAAACGATGGTGACCATTAATTTTTTAAATGGAATGCTGCATATTCTTTTGCCATATCGAAGCGTGTATCGAGACGAATTCATCCATGTGCTATATAATATTAAAGGTCACCTTCGTTTCTCGAAAAATATGGCAAATATAAAGAATTGATATACGCTACTATGTTGGTCATAGAAAACTGCAAAACTTTTTCCTTTTTAATTCTTTTCTAGTACCTATCGTTTACGAGAGAAAGGCTGGCTAGTAAATCCGCGCACACCCTCTATAGTTCCATTGATACTGTATAATTTTTATAAATAAAGTTCTTTTCTATTTCCAAAAATAGTGAAGATACATTCAATCGACAATGTTATTACCTTATTCTGTATAAAATTTCACTTCACGTCCGATACATAATTAGGAAAGGCAATAGTTTCTGAAAATCAAAACGGTAATTCGAGCAATAGTCCTGTATGTACATATTTGTATGCTTTTCTAAATCGAGTACAGTCGGTTTGCTTTACAGAGTAAAGTTTGCTAAAATTTTTACAACTTCGTGACAACTATGGCTTCATAACACTGCATGCAAAAAAAGCACAATGACAGCAAAATCAGCTTGGTTATAACTTGATAGTTTCTATAGCTCGGTAATATGTTTCTTTTAAATATAATTCGATACATTAATCTACGAAAATTTCAGATCCTTTCGTTTCTAATCTGACATACAAATTAAACAAACATCTTGGATTATTCGCATAGTTTTTACTATTGATTTAAAAATGCTAAAACTTGCTTTCATATTTACTTCACTTATACATATGTATCTATTTAGCTGTTACTTTTCTAATAGGCTAGCAATTGTTTTATGCGCTTATAAATATTAATGTTACACTGTTATACTAATCAATACATAATTTTCTTCATAAAAATAACTAAAAACAAGCAACCGAAAAAACAAAAAAAATGGAAAGAATTTATGCATTATAATATTAAAAATAATTTAGCTAAGATTATTGTGATCTAACGCATATTTTCTTGGCAAAAACGGAAATATAGAAGACAACTGCTACACTACGCTAAAAACAATTTGTCTGATTTGCTAAAGGATCTAGATTCGATTGTAAATTTATTTGTTACGTACACCGATTGTATACAGGGTGGTCCACCTAAATGTAGCCACCTAAATATCTCCTTTATTTGTGATGACATAACAAATATTTTTATTGCAA